GTTCTATCCATTCATAAGCTTCTATTTGTCCCTCAATATTGTACTAGATGAGCTGCAAGAAGATGCCACCTTTTAAGGAAAATACGGCTCTTGGGAATTGATTTGTAGAAGGTAATCCTATTACCTAGACCAATTCAGGGGCCAACTACTTCTGAAGGGACATGGGAATTTCTCCCCAATAGCTCCATGTTGCATGACAGCAAATAGATCCAACCATCCTCTCTCCTTGGGTGACTCTCCGTGAGTGAACACAGAGAAGGTTCACTAGAACTCAAGCCGTTATCTCATTAAGTGAAAACAGCGTTGCCAGTAGTCCGTAAGAATGGCTCAGAAATCTCCACTAGTTTATTCTGGGCTGCCTGGAAGATTCCCTGTTTTTCTCTCATCTTTGCAAAAGGTTTCTTTGCATTTTTGCAAAAGGCTGACATCAATGAAAAGAATCTAAGCAAGTTTCTTCCTTATGACTCTAATGACCCTGCCTAGAAAAAATACACAACTCACTGTAGTTGGTACACGTTCTCTGACCCTCCCAGGTAGAGGCAGCTTCCCTGCGTCCCCCTGTAACTATATTCATCACCTCCAGGTACTCATGTCAGTCTCTGCCACTAGCCTTCAAACTACTTTAAGTCAGGTATATATCTTACCTACTTTTGCAAACCTAGGGCTCAGCAAACTGACTGGCACCTACTAGACACTAGTAAATGTTAATTGAGTAATCCGGTGTTGCCTGAACACTAGTTATACTATTTTAAGATTCAGCTGACTAGGAAAAAAAAAACACAGAGGGCTTAAATAAGAAATTTAAAACCAAACATTCAGGCTTTGTTGCCTATGGCTTTTCTCCTCATTTTTGCTATGTAGGTTGGAAAAGTCACTTGACTTCTCTGTACATCAGTAGGGTGTTAGTTAAGACTGTCCAGAGAAACCAAATTCTAAACATCCTAAGCAAAAACAGAGTCTAACTGGCTCATGTAGCTGGGGTAGCTGACAGAACTGGAGACACATCTACAGGAACTGGGACCTCCAGGAGCTGACCCAGGGATTCCCACTCCATCTTTTCTGATTCCTTTTGAATATGGGCCTCACTGTCTCCTATCATGAAAAGGTCTTCTCTATGAGTGGGAAATTGATCCAATAGCAGCCCCATGAAAGTCCAGAAGAAAAGAAAAGCCTCCCTTTCCCACAGCCAATACAGAAATGTCAGTGAGGGACTCCAGTGCTTCTGTTTGGGATCCATGCCCCACGAGACCAACTTTTATTGCTGGAAGGTGAATTCAGTGAATGGCCAGTCCTGTGCTATGCTGGGGTACCGGCTGGGATGAGTAGAGTCCAGCATAGTAAGGCTGGTGGGAAGCTTGCTGCATAGACAAAAACAATGGTTGCCACAGTCTATTAACTTAATAGCCATTCTCTTGCCTTTATATTAATAATATTACTTTGGGTTATGCAGAAAAAAGCATCATCATCTTTGTGGACTGTTATATAAGCATGAAATTTATTATACTGACTACCTCATAGTTGGGCAAAATAAATATGTGAGAGATTAGATAATTATAATTGTGACAACACATGCCAAGGAATAAGTAAAACCTGCTCTCTTGTTCTCAATTTTTCAAAAATGCAGCATAGAAACACCTTTCTGTCATCATCTAGCAGGCTGGCAATAGAAAAACTTTTGGTCAGGACCCAGGGTACAGTTATGACCCAATTGAGCAAACCCAAGAAGCCCCATGAGGCCCATCAGGGGTATAAAGAACACCCATGACCCTATTTTCCTGACTGGAAGCCCCATGAGGCCTCATCAGGGGTATAAAGAACACCCATGACCCTATTTCCCTGACCGGAAAATTCTACAACAGAAAAGCAATTGGGAGGGGCTCAAAAACTCTACCCAGTCCTACAGAGAAAAGAGGTATGACAACAACTCCTCGGGGGCAACTGAGGTTTATGAAAAAGGGAAGATGAGGATCCTCTCAGAAGAGGAAGAGGACAGCATCCCTCTGACAGTTTCAATTAAGAAAGCTCAGATGTGCAGGATGTTTTCTCTTCTCACTTAGAGAAATGGGAGCATGTGCATAAGAAGCATCAGGGCGCAGATGAAGGCTGAGGACCAGCATCCTCCCTGGAATCACCGCCAGCCTCTGGGCATTAGTGTGCAGCACCTCGCTCAAGGGGCATGGGTGCCATCATCCTAACAGACACTTGGGCTTGCAGGTGTCTATAATCCCCACTAAGACAGAGACTGTTTAAAACTCACATTTCCAATATTTGATGCACTGTTAGTATGCTGATGCTACAATGCTAGGTTCAGATTTCCTCCTGATCCTTTCTTAGAGAAATATGTGAAGTAGTTCTGTTTCAAACATGTACTGAAAATTTACTGCACCCTGGGTGGTAGTGCAGGCACTGGGGATAAAAAGCAAACCAAAAACCCTGTCTTTATGGGGCTTATATTCTAGCTGGGGGAGACAGACAACAAACCTAAAAATAAATAAACTATACAGCACTCGGATGGTGGGAAGTTTGAGAAAAAGGCATGGCAGGGAATGGGTAGAGGTTGGAATATACAGGGGATGCTTCCCTGCCGTGTCCTGGGCTGTTGATTCTTTGCAGGTGATAACCACAGAAATCCTCTTGCTCTGGTAAAGGCCACCCTCACCAGTGTGAAACAGAGAGCTGCGTGATCACAAGAGTGGGATTCAGCCCTGGGCCACGACTGTGCCACATCTTGCCCACTTCCCACTTCAGTTTAGATTTCTGTGCCCCAACCTGGGTAATGATGTTAATAAAACCTGCATCCCAGGTAGCTCATGGCACGTTGTGTTGAAGGTCTCACGGCTGTAAGCTGACCTAAATATATATTTAGCTTCATTTTGAATATTAAAAAGCTCACATTTTGGTTTTATGCTTCCATTATCACCTATTGATTGAGCGTCTGCTATGTGCTAAATGCTGTTCTAGGTATTGCAGTGAGTATCTGTCCTCATGGAACTTACATTCTAATGGAGGAGATGAAAAATTCAACAATAAATTAAATAGGGGAGATACCAACAAGAAGGAGATGAGACACCATTGAATAATCCAGGCATGAGATGATCACATTCTGAACTGAGATGTCTCTCAGACAAGTTGAACTGAATTCCTGACCATCTGTGGTCACTTATAGAGCCCTTTCTATAAAGGTGTCATGGTAATAAATTGGTATGAAAATCCAATTATGGTTTGAGCCTTTCTAAAATGTTGAAAGAGCAGCTTCCCTTCTCTTACTGACAATCTGTTCTGTGGACACATACACACACACCCTTCCATCTCCTAAGGGTTTCTATTTTGTGGACTGCAAAAGTGTTATTCCAAGTTGTATAAAAGAGTGTGTGCTTTGGTTTCCAGAGTCCTTAGCTATTTATTCCAGCACTGCTGTTACATTAAAAAAAAAAAAAAGGTGGTAAGGATCACATACTGGTAAAAACATGCATAACAACAACAAATAATAGCATCTTCTTTTCAAATCAGAAAGTGAAGCTAATGATCTTATGAGATTGCTGTTGGGCAGTATGTTTGCCTGGGAAGGACAGGTAGAGGGATCCAAAAACACATTTGGGGAAGAAACACCCCACAATTTTCGTGTTCAAAGGCACCAGGTTCTGAGTAGATACAAGAGTCTAGAAAACGAAAACGTGACTACATTACACTGCGACACCTTGGGGAGAGAAGCCTAGCAGATTTGAAACTGAGAAAACTACAAGACAGAGTGTTGGAAGTGCTAATGCTTTCCCGCACAAGTTCCCGCCTCAGCCTTGCTGATTTGACCAAACACTTGTCTCTAGCCCAAGTGTCTCCATGGAGTCGGTTTAAACTGAAAAGCAGCCCAAGAGAAGAAGTTCCTGGGTATGTGGATATGAATCCCTCTAGTCAGCATGGCAAGGAAAGCAGCTCAACAACACTTTCACATTATACACTTTGGGCCCAGACTTTGTGGACACAACAAACTTTCTGTGTGCAGCGCAGTACAACCGGACTCCATATAACATGAGAGAGCTGTAAACACCACGCCGAGAGCTGCTGCCTTGCGGGCATCTAAACTGTCACGAAAGCCTGCCAGCCAGAGACAAGACTTCCAAATAAGTTTACAGCCTCCACTAGCAGTGGCTAGACAAGTCAAAAATCAAATTATTTGGCATGGTTTCCCATCGAATGGCAATGAAGCCCACTTGGGACTATATATGGAACAGCTTTTATAAATTGCACCTTCCAATAAGGACTCCTTAAAGAAATACACGCTACCTCAATGCTTCTCCTTAGAAACTTTGAATATCAAGCTAACTTCGATCAACACATTTTTTATTTGTCTTTTGTTTGTGTGTGTGTGTTTTCAAAAACAGTAACAGCAGCAAAACAAACAAACCTGGCAGGGAGCTGGTTTTCCCATCATGCCCTTGTTAGAAACAGAATGTCTAGAGAATATCGTTGGAGGAAAACCGTATTTTTAAACCGTACTAGATATCTGATGCCACATGTCTGATAGAAGTAGTATCTGGTCGTCACGGAAGGAGTCTTTGGACCTGCCCTGTGACTGAGGAGCGAGCTGTGAATGTACAGCTATCCCTCCAGGTCCTGACTGGATGACCAGCAGTTCATTGATGAAATCTTTTTATAAAAGATACCATGTATTTTCAGGTCGCCTCTCCTCAGTACTCAAAACCAGACAGAACCCGATGAAGTGAATGAAATTCATAGATCCCCACCCATCAGGACAACTAGAATTCTAGCCCCTCTATTTTGCTGTTCAAATAGTGCAAGGAAACTCCCATATCGTTTCTGCCCCCAACTTTTTTCTACAAAAACCTTTCCTTGTAGTAAGCATTTCTCCACCAAAAAGAACTATAGGAAATATCAGAAGTTCAACTGGGCTAAGGAAGAAAAGAGAATTTAGCAGCCAGAATGCATGTTGAATTTTAAGGGTTGGTAAGTTCTTGCACCACCTGCCCAAGTGTTTGCAAGCAGTTCGCAGAGAAAAGCTCTTCCTCCAAAAAAACTCGCTATCTGGGTCCCAAACTTTTCTCCCTGGGCAAAAAGGATCAGAAACACCTCACTGAGCTTTAGGCCACCGTAACTGACTCATCAAAGAACGTCTCTCCTTCTCCCCAGAAAAAGCATGACTTGGAACAGCGAGGCATTCTGAGACACAAAGACACCCCTCTCTGTGTTGGAAGGAAAGTAGCAGCGACTGTAATTAACAGAACAGCAGTTGTGGAACTTCCAGGGTTGTATTTAAAGGGCCATGCGGGGACTGCGGCTGTGTGGAAAAATAAGGACGGGAGCGGGAAACGGGGCAGAAGTAATAGATGTACTTACAGACCGCGGAGCCGAAGCCAGATTTTCTCGATCTGTTCCGGTTGCAGGTATTTCAGAGAGTTACTCTCAAATTCTTCAATCTCCTTGGTTGGGGACTCCATAGCTGCAGGTGACCACTGGCGGTGAAGCTGAGAGAGTCTGGGCTGTCCCCTCCCGTCTCCTCGCCCAGCCCGCGATGCCCCAGCCGAGAGCGGCGCGCGTTTGCCGGGCGCTTTCTCCGCGCGCTCCCCCTTCTGCGCCGCCCCAGACTCGGACTTAGAGCAGACTCCGATCGGCCCCAGGTACGCCCCGGAGCTGGCTGCGGGAAGCAGCCATGGCCCCGGGCTTGGGACAGGGACAGGGAGAGGGACAGGGACAGGGACAGGGAGAGGGAGAGGGACAGGGAGAGGGACAGGGACAGGGAGAGGGACAGGGACAGGGACAGGGAGAGGGACAGGGACAGGGACAGGGAGAGGGACAGGGAGACGGACAGGGACAGGGAGAGGGACAGGGACAGGGAGAGGGAGAGGGACAGGGACAGGGAGAGGGACAGGGAGAGGGACAGGGACAGGGAGACGGACAGGGACAGGGACAGGGACAGGGAGAGGGACAGGGAGAGGGACAGGGACAGGGAGAGGGACAGGGAGACGGACAGGGACAGGGACAGGGACAGGGTTCCTGCTCCAACAGAAAGCACCTCGGGTCTATCCGTATTTTCCCCCTACCCCCAAACAAAGAGGCGATCAGCGCGCAACTAAAGGGTTTGGAGGAGAAAAGGAGTGAGTGGGGAGGAGAGAAAATGAGGGGGTGGTGGAGGAGGAAGAAAGTGAGAAGGGAGAGAAAGGCGGTGGCTGAGCCCGGCGGGAGCCCAGCGGGGCCTGACCCGAGGCCGCACACCCAGCTCCGCCGCGCCCCCTCACTCCCGGGCCGCGCTGCCTTCGAGCCCCTCTGTTTTCTCTCACTTACCAGCAGCTCTGCTGACAAGTGAGAAAAGTCGCCTGTCAGCGCCCGGGCTGGCGTCTGGGCTGGCACCGCGGGTGCGGAGAGAGGGAGGGAGGGGCGCGCGGGCACCGCCGTCTGCCGGGCACACGCTCGGCTCTGACCCCGGCCGGGCACGCCCGCCCCCGCAGGGCAGCCGCGGCCACCGCAGACCCCGGGGCTGCGTGGGCTCCGGAACCGCACCCCCAAAAGAGCTCGGCTCCGCGCGCAAGTCGGAGCGAAGGGAAATCCGTCTCCTCCCAGGGCTGGGGCGCGCAGCAGCCGCGGGGCTCCGGAGGTTCTGTCTGGAGGCCCCTCACAGCCTCACCCTCGGGCCCTCCACCAACCGGGTCCATTTCGAAATATTAAGTGACATGGGGACGAAGGGAACCACAAGCCACACTGGTGTTTTCCTGCTAAAGGAGAGAGAGAGAGAGAGAGAGAGAGAGAGAGAGAGAGAGAGAGAGAGAGAGAGAGAGAGAGAGAGAGACTGACTCTCTCTGTCTCTCCCCCCCACCCCTCACCCCTGCTCATTCGGAAAAAAAGGAGAAAATGTACGAACAGTGAGGAGGTAAGTTTCTGCACCTAAATGCAGATCAATGCCACAGGCTACTCAAGGGGTCCCTCCTGGGTGCTGGCTGGGCGGCTGTGAACGCTGGTCAAGTTTCAGCTCCACAAAGCTTCGCCTCACTGTCAGGGTTCCCCTCGGTCATGCACAATGTCAGTAAACGCTGTGGAAGAACGCGACTAGGTATGAAGTTGGAAGTCAGGGAGGGAGGACAGATGAAGAGAGGAACCAAAGACTGGGAGGAAAAAGATCCGTGCCCCAGATGACAGCCAGCAACATCACAGAAGGGGCCGCCAAACTCCCATCTAGGGGAAGCCACCACCAGGGGCTATTTCAAACCTGGGTCTCAGTGTTCCTGAGATTCAGGGTGCCGCATGCCCCATACAGTATTTGTCCTCAATGACAGGTAATACTTCCATTCACCACACTCTCAAAATTATCTTTCTATCCATCAGGTAATTGCCTGATTCCCAAAAGCAAGATAAACTTACAAGTGAGGACAAGTTTTTCTTCACTGCTCAAGTAAAGTTTCATTCACCTGACTTTTTAACAAAGGAATAAAATGGTCTCTAAATCATAAATGTTCACCCACTTGGTAATTGGCACTAGTTTTTTAGAAATTAGAGGGGAGAGTCACGAGGATGGGTTGGCTGGCCCTATGCATTCTAGCGGAGAAGGTAGTACCTCAAGGTAAGACAAAAGACCTGTTTGATGAAAAACAACTTACCCACTCACCTGCCAGGTAAATCACCCCAATAAAGTCAGCCTTTAAAGGTTTGTGGAGGTGCATACATTTTCACTGAGTTAAGGTATTATTACCCATCAATGGTAACATTAAGCAACATTTTAACATGGAGTCCATCTATCTGAATAACACCAGTTACTCTTCCAGTGTCCCCCAGCAGAGAAACAGTGTCCTGAGAGAATAGAATGCCACAAGAGGACATTTTTATAGTGACTAGCTTTGAGAATGGAAGACAGGAACATGGTCCTCAAATGAGGTATTTCCATTAGTGTGTGCACCCTGGGTGGGCCTGCTGGCAGAATGTGGAAGCATAATTAATAATAACATGAGGTAGATGCTATTATTACCATCCCCATTTTACAATAAGAAAACTGAAGCATCAGGAGGCTTCCTAGACCAACTAGAGAGAGAACTGAACCAGAGAAGGCCAGAGTTATGGCTGATTACCTGATTCTATACAGATTTATCCCCTCACAGAGACCCATTTTCCACATCTATAAAGTGATACATTTAGACAAAAAGATTTTTATGTTCTTTTCCCCTTTATGATTCTTTGAGGTCATCTGGAGAGAGTTGGAAAAACGAATTGCCAAAGAGAGAGAGGAATGATGGTGAGTTCACATTTTAACTATGTTACAGTTTCTCTAAGTACCGGCCTAGGATGAAAAGATACAAAGGAATAATAAAGGATGATACTTACCTTTCTGCTCCATATCACAGCTATGGCTTTTTCCTACTGTTAGTGGAATTTTGATTGTCAGAGAAAAGCAAATTTTGTAAAAAAAATTAAAAGAAATAGACTTTTCCTACAATTAAGCAAATCACAGAGAAAAAAACAAAAAAAATTAAAAAGTTTTTGAAGCTAGATTTTGTTGCATTTTAGAAAATTTCTTACAAAATTAATGTGTATTAGAAAGTCAGTAAAAATGTTTGCTTTATTTATAGCTATAATAGTCTTTAGAGCAGGAAGGAACCCAAAAGATAATAGAGTTTGGAGGTTTTCCAATTTTTTAAGCAACAGAGTATTTTTATTTTAAATAACATCTTATAAGGAACTCAAATGCGTAACTCGGCTTCAAAAAATAAAGACAGGGCGACTCCAACTGAATGGGAAGGGGAAGTATTCAGTTCTCAGGTACGCCGTCCACCTCTGCCTCCTCTTTACCCCAGCCCTTAGTGCCCAGGGCTCCCACTTTACAGATGAGAAAACTGAGGCCAAAGTACCACAAAACAATAAGGGTTTCTTGCTCCTAAACCACATTAGAAAACAACTTTGTCTTCTCTCTGCCAACAAAATGTTACTATTTTTAGACGCATCATGTTATTATGTCACTCAGATTGTGCTCTCTCTTCATCTATCACAGTCAAGGTGCGCCTGATAGTGGCGGCAACACCACAAGCCATAGTTTCTACTGGCATTTTGCTCAGAGGCAAGCAAAAAGAAACAGATGCAAACTGACCAGGAAACGAAAGGACTGAGGAAACACAAAGCCTCTCACGACTTTACTTCACAGGTTAATTTCCATAGTTTCCTCATAACCCCGCTTTTTAGTAAGTCTGTTTAGGAAACATTACATGGTCAAACATCACTAAATGCATACAGCCATGCATACATACACATATATATATATATAAAATACACACACAGGTACATACACATGCGTATAGCCATGCATACATACATATACATATACATATATATATAAATAAAATACACACACAGGTACATACACATGCGTATAGCCATGATACATACATGTATATATAATACACACAGGTACATACATATATATAATACACACACAGGTACATACACATGCATATAGCCATGCATACATACACACATATATATATAATACACACACAACAGGTACATACACATGCGTATAGCCATGCATACATACACATATGTATATATAATACACACATAGGTACATACACATGCATATAGCCATGATACATACATGTATATATAATACACACAGGTACATACACGTACATGTATATAATACACACACAGGTACATATACATGCATATAGCCATGCATACATACACATATATATAATACACACACAGGTACATACACATGCGTATAGCCATGCATACGTACACATATATATAATACACACACAGGTACATACACATGCATATATGCATGCATATATACATATAATCAACAATTTAAAGTACTCCTCCAAATACACACAGAGTAACTTAGTCCACGTACTAGCAAACCTCTGTACTATCAGAATGAAGTGTCATAAAAGATTAGAAAGAGAGCTACCTGTCCCAGATTCAAGGGAAAGCTAGATGTTAATCTGACAAAGGAATAGGAATCAGGTTGAAGCATGAGAATGACCCCTCTGGCCTCTTTCACTGCTAAGATTTCATGATTCAGTAATAATCACAATAACCACAACTACCACCCTACCAGTTGTTAACATTGTCTTGTGCCAAGCACCATGCCAGGCACATCACAGGTTGGTCCATTTCATCCCCAGTAAAATCCTTCAGCATACTTTTGTAATGCCTATTCACAAGTAAAGACAGAAAGGGCTCCAAACAGATAAAACATACAGCAAATACGTGGCACAGCAGCTTCCAAACTGAGACCAGAAGGCAAAGCTCATTTTCTTTTGCCTTTGCTCTACCCCTCCCTGCAGACACACACAGTCTCTAGAGTAAAGAAGTACACAATAGAGAAGGCAGGGAAAGGAGCGGGAGCACAGATGAGGGGGGCATTCGTGCTGTGGGGAAACTGCAAGGGCTTCATAGTGAAGGTGACATTTGAACTGGACCTTGAAAGTAGATGAAGTAGAAATTGTTTGCAATGAAATGTAGGTGGAGGCAGGCCATCCCAGAAAGAGTCCACTGCATGAAAGGAGGCACAGAAATGTGATAAGGAGAGGGGTGTCCTGTAATTCATGGACAGTTTCTGTGTGGTTGACTGTGAAAGACTTTTTTTCCAGAAAGAGAAAATGCTGGAAGGGTCCACCAGACTCTTGTTATCATGGAAAAAGCTTGGACCCTCTCCTATAGATATCAGGGAGCCATGGGTGCATCTATACAGTGGGAGGCATGGCCACATGTGGAGGGTATCTGCTGCCCTGAGTATGCCAAGGGCACTGTGCACAGCTCTCCGGGAACCTGCCACAGGAGCAACTATGGTGCAAATGGTAACCAGGGCTGCAGCAGAGAAGTCCAGTGACCAACTGCAAACAAGTTCCTCAGCTGACAAACGAGGAAGAGGAGAAAAAGGAAAATAGCAGAATCAGAAAAAACAAAGCTTTTTTTCTTCCACCTATGAGGTGACAACTACTTGCTCTGACCTCCATGAAGCCAGCCTGTGCCCTTGATCCATTTATCACGACTTGGCAGTGGCATCAGGAAGAGAGTCTGCTGAGGGGGAAATTCTGGAGAGACATCTAGGGCATCAGAAGCAGCACCGCCAGGCACAGCAGCCCCTCCTTCCCGCCCACACCAGATGTGAGGTGGCCCCATAGTGTTCTGTCAACAGAGGCTGTTCTCTCTCACTGGCTTCCTTTGCAGAGAAAGAGGCCTCCTTGGCGACACCATAACCCTGCTTCTCCCTGTGACGTCTTTTCTGTTTGATTTTATAATTTGGGGCAGACTCTGTCTCAGGAACCACCTTCTCTATAAAACAGAGGTAAAAGGAAAGGCAGAGGACTGGCTAAGCCCAGAGGTACCCCCACTAACCGCCCCCCCCATCTAAAATGGGGCTCTGAACAGCCAGAATCTCAACTTTATGACCAAGCAGTGGCCCAGAGAGGTGAGAAGAGAATGAGATGGAAGAGATAGGGCAGCTCAGGGGCAGGCTGATGTAGCCTGCATGTGACCCACAGTTTCTACCCCTCTCTCTGCCAGGATCCTTCAGTTGTTCCCGTAGAAGCTCAGGTAATCCTCCCAATAGAGGTGACACAGGTAAAGGAAAGGACTTGGAGGGGTACTGCCTCACCACGCCACTGGGGACAAGACCCTTCTCTTCTTTGGCCATGGCTGGGTTGGGCTCAGTGACCTCTGGATCCCTTTCCAATGCTCACTACCCTAACGTTCCATCAACAGAGGCATGGACTGGCCTGGGCTAACCAAGCTTTTCGTGGACCAAAAAAAGCTGCAGGAAAACCTGAGTCTGGCCCTCCAGGCCAGATTTGACTAAAATAGACATAATCTAGATTGTCCAACCAGAACCATTTACCCCATCCCCATGAATAGAGTGACTGAAGCAGATCCAGTTCTTATAAGAGATTTGATGTGACCACAGGAGAGAGAGGGTCTACTTCTCTGTTCTTTGAGAAAACAAGCCATAGGGCCTGAAGTTGTCTTAGCCATGGGGTTATCTTTTCCACCATGTAGAGAGAATATACCAGAAAAATGACATCAGGGCTGGAAGCAGTAGCTCATGCCTGTAATCACAGCACTTTGGGAGGCCGAGGCAGGCAGATCACTTGAGGTCAAGAGTTCAAGACCAGTCTGGCCAACATGGCAAAACCCCATCTCTATAAAAAATACAAAAATTAGCTAGGCGTGGTGGCACACGCCTGTAATCCCAGTTACTCAGGAGGATGAGGCAGAAGAATCACAGGAGGCAGAGGTTGGTTGCAGTGAGCCGAGATCATACCACTGCACTCCAGCCTGGGTGACAGAGCTAGATGCCACGTCAAAAAAAGAAAAAGAAAAAAAAATGACATCAACACAGAGTAAAGCAGATAGAAGAGCTGGAGAGCCAAAGGAAAAAAATGTGAAAGGATTCGTTGAGCCCCTTGGTCCTGCTATGCCTAATCAGAATACCCATTGACTTTTAGGTTATATGAACCAAATAAATGTAACCCACCCATTTTTTTTTAACTTAAACTAGTTTGAGTCAGATTTATGCTACTGACAACTTAAAAAAAATCCCAGTTAATAATACAATTCTTCCTTATCAGATTGTTGTAAGGAGCTTAAAAAAATTTTTTTAAATTTAAAAACCGGGGCCAGGCGTGGTGGCTCACACCTGTAATTCCAGCATTTTGGGATGCCGAGGCAGGTGGATTGCCTGAGATCAGGAGTTCAAGACCAGCCTGGCTAACATGGTGAAACCCCATCTCTACTAAAAATACAAAAAATAGCTGGGCGTGGTGGTGCACACCTGTAATCCCAGCAACTCGTGAGGCTGAGGCAGGAGAATCATTTGAACTCAGGAGGCGGAGGTTGCAGTCAGCCAAGATCGCACCACTGCACTCCAACCTGGGTGACAGAGCAGGACTCTGACTCTAAATAAATAAATAACATATGACCAGTGCATTGTGCATTGGAGGTTCTCATAAAATAGTAGTTCCTCCTCCTCCTCATCCATCCGGCAGGACACGGGAGGGAAACTGGAACGTTATACGGGGACCTAGGGGTAGGCAGAACACCCACGGTAAATAGAAAAAGCCTGCCTTATCTTAATAAATAGATATACCAATAATTTTGTTTCAGTTACATTTTGATCATGACCTATCAAATCATTGCTATATTACATACATTAACCACTCAAAACAACCCTGAAGTGAATGAAACACATTATTATTATTATAATTATTATTATTACCTCCAGTTTAGAAATGA